TCTACCAATGGAAGGTGTCACTCAGACCGAGGAAGCTTTCGCCAAATATTTATTCATACGATAATGTCATCGTCATCATTGTCTTTCTCACCCTGGATCAGGGTATAGGCCACGAACAAACATATTCTCAGCCTGGATCAGGGTATAGGCCACGAACAAACACATTCTCACTCTGGATCTGGGTATAGGCCACGAACAAACACATTCTCACTCTGGATCTGGGTATAGGCCACGAACAAACACATTCTCACTCTGGATCAGGGTATAGGCCACGAACAAACACTTTCTCAGCGTGGATCAGGGTAAGGGTACACGAACAAGCCATTTCCCCCTTTCCACTATTCTGAGCTAGCCTCTGAATGTTATTCCATGTCTTCCCGCATTACTGGTATTTAAAAGAGTTGATTCTTAGTTTCAGATAAATGTGACGGCACTAGCAAGACAAATAGGACATATAACTGCCTCGGTACTACTGAAGAGTAACGTAACATACGATATAACACTCTTTGCAAAAAAGGGTTCATGCTCTACATCAAACAACTGGCTTCTATACAGAGTACACTTGAACACATTTAACGTTAAGTCCAATTTCTACACCTTATTTGTGACTGTACTGTTTTCAAGTCTGTTTGAAACCACACTGTATCTTGATAAAACATAAATCTTTAATCTTTCTAGAGATACAATTCTCTGTGTATTTGATATGCAATACATTACCAAACGACCCATCTTGATGCATTCCAATGCAAGCACACCCGCACTACTTAGTTTCATTAATTTCTCAATTTTTTGCCAAAACTGAATTGTAATGGTTAATTTTGAGTGACCAAATGCAGAGACTTATGCACATGCACCCATTTATTCCTGCAAACATATACATACACCAAAGTTCATACATACATACATACATACACATAAATATGTTATCATATCCATCATATCTGTTGAAGCTGTACATTCCAGAGTGCAATTTAAGATCATCAGCTGACAAAAAGAAACTTTCTTTGACCATGTGTGGAACAATGGATGAAAGGGCATCTGTTTCCAACGTATATCATATCTGGAGTTCTTTTATCATTTGTTTAAGAGAAACCAAATCTTTATATTCATTGAACTGTCAACTCAAATCATTTCTGGATTTAAATTTAATGAGGAAAATACAAACAAACAGAAACAAACACATATACAAGTAACTAAACAGTCAAACACACACACACACAAACACACACACACGCACATGAACACACGCATACACAAACACATACACACATACACATACACACAAACACACACATACACTCAAATACACACACAAACACTCAAACACAAACTTGTACATATACAAACACACACATACGCACAAACACACACAAAACTCTCACACACAAACACTCAAACACTCACATATACACACATACACACACAC